AGGAAGCAAGCACAGACCTGAACGGGATGGTACGACCTTGGTACACGGCGTACACGGCTAAGTCAATAAACTGGGTGACGCAACTCACTAGCGCGTTGGATCGACGGAGAGCACCGATACTCTGCACGCTCTACCGTACTCTCTCGCTCGCACACCTCCCTCCCATAGACCACCGAAATTCCTCGGCACGCGTCAACACCGACGGAGAGCACCGATACCGCGGCTCGCTCTACCGCTCTCGCTCGCACGCCGTGACGTCACCCGATTCCCGGAATCCCGCGGCCACGAGATGGCTCATTACGGTAAGGCATTCCCGCAAGGGAAATTCTCGGAAACGGTTCAAGATTAGAAACTAAAATTTTGCATAATTTAGTTTCTTGTTGTTATCAACAAATGCTGCAAATTCGAAAAAAATCGGTCAATAAGATCGCAGTTCTGTGCGTTTCGACGTGGAATGGTTCGTTAATATCCGTTTTCAGGATGCTACAAATATATGCAATATACATGTATCATAGAATTATTAGTAATGAAATAAAAATAAACGTCCGAAGTGTTCCATACCGATTTCACCGAGCTTGTGCAGGTTCGGGGTCGGATTTGTCGGAATTTGTGTTTGCGTACAAAAAACTAATTACTTTTAATATGCTATTACGAACACGTATATCTATGTATTGTCCCATAAATTTAAATAAACAATATATTTTTTAATTTACAATGACAAATATATTCATTATATACGAAAATCTATTATTTTTTATTTTGCATTATTTTTTTAAATAACGAAATATTTGGCAAATAAATCATTTAGAAATAATTTATTTATGAAATAAGACTTTGGAATTTATTTGCATACATCCTCATTTTCAAGTAAATTTATCTGTTATTTTATTTGCAATAAATATTGGCTATTTTTATTTGTAGTTTTCATTTCAAATGAAAAGTACCCAAGCCTGCTTTATATAAAGTGAGAAGACCTTTTTTTAATACGTTTACAACGAATGGACAGAGAAGAATCCGTTTGCCACATGCGGCAGCGATCTCTTCGATTTATTATTATTAATTATCATTAAAAAATAAATTGAAATTAGGAATAGGAGTGGACATAGTTCTGGGATTAATGATTTGTTTTCTATTGAAAAAATCGTATTAAAATATACAATGTACAATAGTATTTATAAAAATTTAACAACAATTGCCACGAGTACTACTTACTATATATTTGTAATAATATTTGTATAAATTCAGTGAAAGTGGCCTTAAATATTATTGAGGCTTATAAAATAATGTAATTCATCCTTTGCAAATAATTATCTCTTTTGTAACTTACAAATCTTCCGTACGATTTTCAAAACTTCATGAAGGTTCCATAAGTTTGTCACCAAAATTTTCATTTTTGGAGGCGTACAATAATTGTGTGTAATAAATTGCTATATTTCATAATAATATTAGTTAGCTGTTATTACATAATAATCGCAGCAACAATGGTAGTAACTCCGGATACCATTATACCCCAAGAATGGAAGACGAAGGCAGTAGTTTCTGTAGAAACCTGTCGAAACAGACAACTACAGTTAGAATAGCAAGGTACAATGTTCACCCAGTTAGAATATGTATTTTAGTTAACTCGAATAAATGAAACTTAGAAAATTTTCATAGTTCCATTTATATCAACATCCTGTCAAAATGTTTATAGTTCCATTAACTCTCATATTTCAATCCAAAGATTTATAGAATAAGGGAAGGAACCTAAAGTACCTATAATGTCGCATTTGTGCTAATAATATTCAGAATTCATTCTTTATCGGTATTGACACTAACCTGGTAAAGGCTTCTGGAAACCACGAAGCACCTGATGGATAATTACATTGGATGTTAGGTCTTTTCTTGTCGTGGGGAAAATTATCATGAACTACTCGTATCCTCGGAGGGGATACTGGGATCGTAATTGTTATCTGTGGAAGGTTTGAAGGAAAAGAAAAAGAGACAAGCAACCTTCTTCGTCTTCTCGTCTTATATTTATTCGCCGTCTATCTGCATATACACACGTTAAATGACACCAAACGTCTACTTGGTTGTACTCGTTTAACGCTAAACACTTACTCTCCTGCTTCGCGTTAGTTAAAATACTTCGCAATTGGATCGTTCTACTTTCGCGCGTACCGCCGCGGTATTTACACAAAATGTCCTTGTGTTCGGTGGTCGTGTATGTGTATTTATCTGTGTGAAATCGTACGTGCAGTTCGTGTACGTGGACGCATATACGAGGCTACCAACGACGTATCGAGTGTCGTTCTTATTTCGAATCTTCCTGGGAGAACTCGAGCCTAAAATCATTTCTCTGAACTATCTCGAAACCTAGTTGCACGAACAGTGAGAATAATTGAAGGTGGAATACGCTCGGGGATAATGTCTCTTGACCTGTACTGCGGTTCCAATAAAATCAGCTTACAGATCAAGGCTACATTCCCCACTCTGAATTATCTTCAACCCTTGTTTTGTTTAAGTTTCGGCGGATGAAAAGAAATATTTGCACACTCGTGTTTCTCGTTAAGTGGTCTTAGAACACTCCACTGGTTGGCCTCTGTCGATTACTTCTTCGCGGCTATTTCAATTACAAACATCCGGAGTCTTTTTTCCACGATGGAACTCCATTTATCCAAGCACTTAATCAAACTCTGCTGAGCTTCTATTATCGGAACATAGAATATTCCGGTGATAAAAGCTCGTCGAAAATGAACATCTGAATTATTTGCTTTGTTTTCTCATGAAGAGGCCCAGACAAATCGAGCCCCACCGTGTTCCATCGGCAAATCGCCCTCCCGTCAAGACACACTTTCCTCGAGATCTCGCCTCTGGAACGAACCAACTGAACTATACTTCCACTCGATAGAAGTGAGAAATCGCGAAAGAAATGCGGAAAGAACGCCAGGAGAGGCTGATCTCGACGAACATGTAGCCTTCGGTGATCCCACGCTCCCAGCGATCGATCTTCCATCATCGTTACCCAAGATGTGCGAAAAATCGTGAGTGCAAGCTCTACGAAAGAGAGGTATTGTGCAACGTTCGGTTCAGCGATGTCTCGTGACGTGACACTCGCGGCGGGTCTCTACTCTCGATCCCTAGGAAAATGAAAAACGAAATCCTCGGCCCGGCGCCACTCCGATGCGCGTTTTGTACTTGCTTCTCTGTCGTTTCATGTTCTCGGCGCCCTCTCTGTCGTCACCTCCCTTCACTTTGGTTACCGTTTCAGGTGAGAATCACGTACGCGTGAAGTGTGATACACGTGGTGGCTAAGTCCCGTCGTAGTCGTGGGGCGCTGGTGGCGGTGGTGTATGGTGATGCATATGAAGGTGTGGCGGCAGTTCGACCGTGGGAACACCCAGGCTGCTTCTCTGTAATCGTAGACGGATTTAGGTGAAGGATTTTTCAGCATTTTTTTGCCAGCTGGATCGCGAATCCGAATAAGGAATCTGGCAAGTTTTCATTGGGGAGAAGGGGATGAGAGGTGTCAGCTGATGAAGTACTTTTCTATTTTTCTTCAGGCATTTGTACATTTTCTAAAAAGTATTCAGAAGAATAGCTTTTTCAGGTGAATGGCGTTTATGCCTTTTATTTTTGACAAACCAATATTTGTCTGTAAATAAATGGAATCGAAGATAGAGTGAAAGAATTGTCCAATTACCTTTAAGTAACGACTTTTCAGAGATTAATTAAACGAATGAAAAAGATTTTGCCGTAAAATTTGCATCGCGTTTCCCTGTAGCATTATTTCGGATAAGGTTTATAGATTCACCACTCGATTGAGAAATCGCATTTGCTACAATGGAACTCCATGTATCGCGGGTTATTGAATTATCGTAGGTAGAGGGGGTTAATAATAACATTGACGTGCCGAAAGTGTACGAATTCAATTAAACCCGGTTAATAATATCGGCTGGTATTTTCCCCTAGTTCCTACAGTCGAAAATGCGGCTGTGGGATAGCTGTTTCGTTCGGTTAAGGGGTTAATCGATTGTTCTCCGCGAACATAAATTATCGTTCCGCGACCGGGCGGTTCTTAGCGGCTGTGCGTTTCACTTAACGCAACACTAAATGCCGTGCTAATGTTTCCTCTGCGTAGAAAATATCTTTTAACTGTAATGAAACTAGGAAAAAAAAACGAGTGGTTGAAACGCACAAACGACTGCTTTGACCAATTAAGCTGTCCGAAACAGCTCTTTTCGCGAACCATGAAACGCAAATGGCTTTGTAAATTTCAACTAAAGTGTTAGTCAAGCGTTAGTCCGAATTACATCTGGGTTCATATGTGTTTTGATTTAACTCAGAGTGAAACTTATTACACGCATTAATGCGACGGTCTCTCTAACAGTAAATTAAGATCAAATGAAAGGACGATCGGCGATTGGATTAGAGACTTGGTCCTCTACAGCCCCCAGAAATGATCAATTATCGACCATCTACAGTAAATCCTCGATGATTGTTCGAAGGCTCATCAGCACTGAACATTAAATATTTCAGAAACTAATGGCCACATGCGGCTGAAACAAATATGATTGGCTTCAGAATTCCAAGCTCTATCACTGTGTTAAACCACAATAAAAAGTCAGCGTTACACCTGGAGATCTCTTCTTGTCAGTGTCGAGGAGTCTTCGAACACTCATCCAGGATTTACTATACTGTATACAGTCCTGGTTGCCATCTGGTTGCTACCTCCTGAGTCCCAGGCTTGTACCCTACTACCACCACTACTACTAAGTCTGGATTTAGGTCTCATGGTTTCAATGGTGTTTCTGAAAGAAATACCTGGGATCTCATCCCGTTCAGGGGGGTGGCAGTGGGGTTGTCAGGCGGATAGCCAAGCACGTTGGTCGTGCATTTCTCGCAGGCACGTCGGCGTCGCGACGAAGCGTCGCAGCGCAACGCGCGGCACAGTTCTCGCGCCATTTCCGAGCACAGGGACTCTTGCTGGTGGTTCTGCTGCTGTTGTTGTTGTTGTTGCTGTTGTTGTTGTTGTTGTGGCTGTGGCGCTTGTTGTTGCTGTTGCTGCTGTTGCACGGACTGGGAGATCCCTTGCAGAGAACCCGAGCAGGCTGGCGTCGATATCGGAGCTCTCTGAATCGAAGCGATCCGCGATAAAACACTTGTAAATCGATCAGTCAACGAATCAAAGAGGAAACAATAATGTTCATATCAGAAGGAAAATTAAGGACTCGAAGGAAGATTGAATCCTTGTTCCATCGTTCAAAATTACTGGTTAATCAGTGATCATGAGAATGGAATCAGTCTGTGAATTGAAGGAAATAGGGATCTACTTCGTCACCAAACGCGTCTAATTAGCTGCAAGTGACCGAATTGATTTGGAAACGTTATAAAATTAAGAGTTTCCTGTATAAACTTTTTAAAAGTATTAATTTTCAATGACAGGATATCACCTTACTAAGGATCCACAAGTGATTCCAAACTTTTGGCCAGCAACTCGTGTGTTTAAAGAACTAACAAGGTCGACGAAGAGTTAAGAAATCTTGAATAAAGAACAGACTAAATTGCAGAGGAAAAGAAACGGAGTAGCAAAACTGTGCGAGTACGTAAACCAGCGAAGAAAAAATTACCGAGTGCGGAGAAAATGATATTTGTAAAAAAACGGACCTTGGTTCACGACTGAGCTTCGTGCATTTGTAGTCAGCCGGCATGCTTCAGTGGAGGATGAGCTCATGCTGCGTCGAAAAAAGTCCACGACGGCGAGAATGGAACAAAAGTTACAAAAATTCATGCGATCCTAAGCTCATGCAACATGCATCGTTCGCCTGGAAAAAAATTGCTTTCTACTCGACGATTTGATCGTTTCGTGCAACACGTTCCACAAAATCGCGGCGGATTACGATCATCATACTGTCGTGTGTTGATTTTTCTTCTAATTCATTCGACTCACCCGTTCCGCCGGCGTGTTCCTCCTCGAATTGTAGCAGAACTCGAAAATCGCGATCAGCACGGCGAACGCCAGGCCGCACAGAAGGACGACAAAGACTCCGCCTAAAAGACAACAGAAGATATTCATCCTCAAGCAAATGTAAAAATTCATTTGTCCCGATCTTGTGTAGGACACTGCACTTCGGTAGTTTCATTTAACCTGTCGCGTCAGTCCAGATCGAGAAAAATAAATCGTTAGGTGATATCGAAACAAAGGAACGCGAGATACTAGGTACGCTGTGAAATATTGGTCTCGGTATTCGTTAACTGGAGAATTTCACGGATCTTGTATTGTATGCTTGATTACTAGACTGCGGATTTTATGCATTCATAGCTTATACTCTGTGACATTCGATACAAGTATTATTATTTATTTTGTATAACTATTTTATCCTGAATTCAATAAAGATACATAAAAGAAGAAAGAAATTTCTATATTTGCTCACGTTTTTACTAATTACCAGCTTTTTTCCCGCGGCTTCGCTCGCGTGGATTTCGGAATTTGGAGAAATTATTTTTTAAACAAAACTTTTAAATTGGATTTTAAGAACGGACTAGACCCCGGAAGTTTATGCAAATTCAAGATTTCTAATGTCTAAAAATTAAAATGGACTAGAATTTTGATTTCTCTGTTGGAGGCTTTCCCACGTTAATAGTAACACAAATTAGTATTAAACTTAATTAAAACCTTTATTTTATTGCATTTTCCAAATGAGAAGATGCTATAAATGCATAAAAATCCGCAATCGATTCATCACGAACAAAGGTTCAGGGCTCACCTATATTGTCTACACCTAAAGAGTTCGCCTTGCTCTCCTTTCCCTTTTCGGTCCTCATGCAAGTGTCGCCTGGACTCTTCCACCATTTGTCGTACAGCATCTGGATCTCGCCCTTCTCTTGCAGCTCTAGAATCGCCAGGGATATCTTGTCGCGCCAAGGAGAACCTGTAAAAACCGTACGAAGAATATCCTTAATGTGGCACCTCTTCCATCGCGATGAAACTTAAAGACAATATGTCCAAGATAAGACGCGTTTACCCATGGGCGTGGCGATTCCGTATCCTTTGCTGTCGAGCAGTCCGCCGATCTGAGTAAGATTGCAGTCCCTCTGCACGATATAATCCAACATGGTTGATTCCATCAGGAAAGCGTAATCTCCCTGAAGGACCCTCTGAATTCCTTCCTCGTAAGTGGGCACGAACACCGACGGCTTCTTGTTTTCCATGAATCGCCACATTTTTTTGTAAGTCTCGATCATCGAGTCCTGTTATATAACTGTATTAATTGTACAGATTGCCCTAGACGTATCTACGTTGAAATATTATAAGGGGCAATATAAGTCAGCTCAGATGGAAGCAAAAATATCTTATACAAATTATAAGTATTGAAAAAATTACTTATATTTAAGGAAATAATCGAACCCAGTCAATACCATAGGAGATTTTTACTTCCTATATTCAGGGCACTGTGTATATGAAACGAATAGAATTAAGGGAAAAAAGTGTTTCATTACCCTGAAGAATGTCATGGTACTTCCGCTGTCTAGGGTCCCATAAGCGATATCCGTCTGACCGGCGAGATCCTCCGCGTTCTCGATCGGCGTTATCATCCTTTCAACCGTGAGGAACGCCGCGAGATTGGCAGTGTACGACGAGATGATTATCAAGGTGAAGAACCACCAGATGCCACCGACGATACGTGTGCTCGTAGCCTGAGAATGAATTAACCATCATCGGTCGATACAATCGCTATGAGTTCTACCATTCTAACTTGCAGGAGACTTTGACAGCCTATGTTATCCACAAATGGACTACAGATTCAATTAAAGTAGGTCGTTCGTCACCAGATAGATGGAATAACACAGTAGAACAGAATCGATTTGTACGCAAGGTAGAACGGGACTGTCATTGTAACTCTCCGAAGTTCTAGTTATTTTAACACTTTCTACTGCCCTGTCAACCATAACTTGATCGGACAGCCAAATGGAATAAGTCATTAGTTTTCACACGTGTGGAATAAATCTGTCCTGGTTAGACACATGGACAGATAAGGTCAGATAAGCAGACTAGATTTGTCACAGTCAGAGAGGTCGACTAAGGCTGTAAATATCGATCAAGTAGAATAGGCAGTCAATGATCAGACAAAGGAAATTGGTCTACTGGACGCATAAAATCTATGAAAGACGTGACTGGGGAAAAAAACGAAGTGTACAGTCGTCTACAGATTAAAAGAATAAGTCAACCTTAGGATTTAGATCGCTGCCTTGCTGCATCAGAGTGCCGATGGTGAACCAGAAGCTGTTGGCCAGCGAGAACTGGTTTTCGACGACTTCGGAGCCAGGGTGGCAGGGATGTGGATTGTTCCACTCGTACGGGCTGAATCGCGCAACGACGAACATCGTCACCGAGACGAGGACGTACGCAGCCAGGACGTACAGCCAGATCTCAATGGCCAATGGATTCATGAAGGAGAATAGACGGGCTGGATGGCTGGTCGGCACCTGGAATTTCACTTCTTTCAGTCCCTTGACCTGTAGATCAGAACACCTATGCTTTACATTTCGAATGAAAACATCATACATTAAAAATTTCTTTATAAGTGTGGATATATAGGGTGTCACAGGTGTATCTTACAATATTTTAAGGAGTGGTAGGGAAGTTTAAATTGAACGCTAATTGGTGCGAATAACATAATACGGATCAAATCCTCACGATCTTTTTCAAGTACCCAATCGTATTTGATTTTTTTATCCTCCATTTGAAGGGATTTTACTCTACTTATTAACCCGGTCAGTGTATCTTTTTGGTATCTTGTACAAATATTTACTTTTTTCATAAAATAAAATCATTTTAAGACTGTTAAGATAAATAGTAGTTCTGCTATTATCTACTACGTAAGTAAGGAAGTAGTAGTTCTAATGATTGGATGCCACTTGAAAAAAATTTTAGATTGTCAGGAAATGTTCTAAATATTGTCGCTAAAGTGATAAAGTAGACGTCCACTGTGGTGGACAAGTGCATTTAACACTAAAACATTCTCTTGATCTTGCAATTATTCTGCAGGAATAGTATCTCTTCGGGAACACAGCCCCTTCGAGCAACGTACGAGGCGGTGCATCGATATCGATTCGGATTTCAATTAAATTCGCGGGCATCGTTTACACGGAGGCGTTCCGCTTATAAACGTTGCTTGTAAATTTCCGTCCAACGGGGGAATAGGGGGGGCGTTGATTATGGTCCGTGTGTGCGTGCAGCCGGGCTCGCGTTTGAAATTGAATTTCGTGACCGTAAGATAGGAAATCTGCTCATGAAAAGAGACGACGTGAGCATTGCATGCATATGTATCGCTACTCTTGCTTCTTACTTCAGTGAGAATGATGATCGAAGAACCATACCGTTTACAGAAATCGACGTCGAAAATTGTTTGAAATAATTTTTTAATCGAATTTGAATCTTCAGCGTTCAGGCACGATTTTATCTATTCCATTTAACCCCGTTTCTTTGTAATCGCTAAGAAGCAGTGGGATTTCTAAAGAACATCTCAGAAGATATTCCATTTCTCTTAAATCTTCCGTATTTCACCCACGGATGATTATATTCGTTTTTGCTCGGTCGTTCGAGCCAAGACAAACGATCAATTTTACGTTAGTTAATTCCTCTCACGAGGAACCAACAGCAGCACAGATTCGATTGAGAACTCGAAAGTTTCGAAAGGATTGAACGAGAGAATAGGAACCGTAATGCGAATCTTTTGAAATTCGAACCATCTACCATCGAGAAATAATCCGCGTACTGACTGGTTGATCAGGTTTTTCGTTTTATTTAAATCCACTGACAATATGGACTCTCTGATTACGTGCAATAAACGATTCCAGCGACGGTGATCAACGGTCACAGTGATAAATGACGTTTGAAATGATCATCGGGAATCGAGAATAGCAGCGGAACGATCGAAATCACGAAAATCTGCAGCTGACAAACGACCGAACGACCCACACGCGTCATCTTCAGCGTTTTTCACGTCGGGTATAATATATTGTCATGTCGCCTCATTTACGCGCTTGTCGTAAATTTCGCCATATAATTGATCCACTGCGTGGCTTGATACTGAAATTTCGTCGGTACACAATCTCATCTGTCCTAAAGTACCGGGATTTACGAGGTCGGCTCTATTTTTCGTCACGTTTCACAGTTACTAGCGGAAGTTATGATCTCGTTCTTGGGGGTCGTTGAACAGGGTTTATTCTCGTCGTATGGGAAATCTGTTCGTACTCCTTCAGAACTTTATTTTCAATATTACAAGTTATTCATTTTCTTAAAAATCTGTCGAAATGATTTGAAAATTTAGTTTAGTTTATTTAAAGTCTTACGAAACTAACGCGTTGATATAATGCTTCATTCATTACTAAATACTTTGACATCGATCATTTTTATTCGATTTGAAAATTTCTCCATGACACTTGATAAATTCCTTCGATCATGGGAGTGATCAATACAATATTATTGTACGAGATTATTGTACTATGAATATTTTAATAATTCGATTGAAGTGAAGATAGGACGAAGGTACCTAGTATCGCCTAGCAAAAGTTAAATTGCTGTCAATTGAACTTTTTGTATGTGATTTGTCACAAACTAAAGAGAAATGATTTAAGTTTGATGTAGCATAAGGTAGAATAATTGAAACCTATACATTTCTAATTGGAAAGAACGCTATTTTCATTAAGAAAAATGTGTGAATCGATTACGTTTTTCAAGTGCATCATTAATTATATATACTTCTAATAGATATTCATGCATTCACAGAATTTTTTAGACATACCTTCTCCGAATGTGATGTAAAATTGTTGCAGTCAAATGTGTACACTGTTAAGATTCACTAAAATACTTCCCTTTCTTTAATTGTTGATCACATGACGCTGTAATTGCAGTATGTTTTCCTGCATGTGGTTAGGTACTTCTTCAGTCCGTAACCGATAAATTTTAGTGCCTGGTTTGCGAGATATAACGGGTGGCGATATTAGGAAGACGGGCAGTATTAGGTACCTTCACCCTCTATGAAACTGAAGACTATTTTCCCACGAAAACTATGTGTAACACGTTGCATGCTAGGTCTATCTTATATCAGGTTCGCCTTGATTTCGTAATTTCACGACCGTCGCACGCTTGTCTCCTTTTCCACGGTTGCTACGGATCTCCGTAGCCGGCAACAGATTGCATCGTCGTCGCGGCGACCGCTTTGATGCAAACGCGACAGGTGGATTGGATCCCACCGAACGATCAATTACGATATCGAATGATTAAAGGACACTCGGGGCGAAAACAATGGCGACACTGATTGCAATTAAGCGGTGGCATTACACTAATTAGAGAGGTCACTGGCCAACACTGCTAGCGTTGCTAGATGGTTACTATCAAAGAGTCCAGTCGTTGTATAAATCGTAAATCATAAGAAGTTGCTAAATATTAATTACTATTCTGAAAGATTTTAGTAGTTTCCAGAACATTTATATAAATAAATTAAAAAAGAAAAAAAAAAAGAAAATTACACTTCCGCTAGACGCTTCTTCGGAATTCTTCGGACGCTTTGCTTTTTTCTGTGTTTACCTCGTTCTCGACGATGTTTCGTGGGATACATTCAAGAAAGATCGTATGCTTTTTATTCTCCAGCGGAAAAAAAGACAAGTAAAAAAAGTGAGCGTGGTTCGAGGAAGGGGAAAGGAGCAGGAAACGAAGGAAAAGTGGAAATGGCACGGTCGTCTCGTAAATTTGCCCGAACGAAACGCCCGATTGAGTTTTCTATCGATACCCGGTGCAAATAGAAGGCGGAACGTGGAAACCAGGACTGAACCCGAAGGAGGACACGGTTGTCTAGAAAATTTTATTTAGGGTCCGCCGCGAGGCCGTTTGTCACCCCCCATTTCAATCCTGTCCTCATTATTGCCGCTCGCTGTTATCCCCTGCCACGGACCGTTCCTTCGCCACGACATTCTCCCGACGAAAGCTTTCGATTCTGTGTTGGAAATAATATATCGGAGAAGTCTTGATGAAGATAAACCGAATGATCGAGAATCTCTGTCGATCAGAGGTAACAGAATCACATCGAGACAAACAGAATAATCGACAGAATAAAGTCTGTAGTGCAAAGAATGGAACGAAAATTTAATATGATATTAGGTCATCACAGAAAATTGTTCGATGCTATGATCTTGTCAATCATCTATTGATTATGCGTAGATATACAGGGTATCATGCAACTGGTGGTATAACTGGGTAGGAAGTGATTCTACGTGAAAAATTAAGACGAAAATATAGAATAAAATTTTTTTTGAGACTTAGTTTTCGAGAAAATCGATGTTGAAAATTAATCTGAAACACGTGTATTCGTCGTGATAATAAGTAAAAACGGAATAAAACGACCAAACTTATTTTTCTACGTAGAATCTCCCCCTTATCCGGTTATACCTACATGATACCCTGTATAGTTCCTTCTCACGACGTGCTGGTTGGAAAGGAAACGTTATTATAATCTAATAATATTCTGTCGTTAATATTCAATCTTTGACACAGGAAGTTTACGTAGGAAAGCTATGTCCAACAGCGGGAACAACTAGAGCCAAGCGACAGAGGGTGAAAACAGAAGGGGCGAAGTGGATAGGAAACGGATCATTGAACGAAAATCGAATTTCTCGGTCGAGCGGGCTCGGCCGATACGGATTATTAAATCATCCACGCGCCATCACCTGATAGCCGTTCTAATTAGCTTGCCGACACGTGGCAGCGGTCATCTACGGCGGAACACGGGTTTTGCTCGTGGGAATTTGTCACGCCCCACGAAAATAATAACCGGTCGATTGTCTGTTCCTCTCGCCACGTTTTGCAAAAATTCAACTGGACCTTGCTGAGAAATTTACCGTTCAAACTCTGAACTTGTTTCTATTCATTCTAGTCATTTTTAAAAACTCGAAACCTTCGGAGCCTTCAAATTTGCTAATCGAATAGAAACCTCGAATAAGGGTCTATGTAGCACATTTTTGGTTTAAGTTGAATTAACAGTAAAGTATGGTACACACAGGTTGTAGACATTCCGTCAGAGGACGATTTACATGTTGAACAGAAGAAGCACGTTAGGTGTTCGAAACTTATAGAAGAAGAGTTTAATGGACAGTTTAGAAGTAGCAGCTTCAAATATTACGGTCTGTAGCTGTTCTGTTGGTTTTCTCAATGGAATAATGGGTCGAAGACACAGGAGAAATTTATCGTAATTAACCGAATACCATCAGGGACGAAGTAACAAATCGCAGAGTTCGTAATACCTCCACGCAAGCGCGAAAATCCCGGACGAAATGGAAGTGGGTCGCGCAGGGTTCCCCAGAGGACGGCGGCGCGAAATCGAAATTATGAATCCCGAAACGTGAAACAGGGGGGCAATTTCGAGCTGGGTTGGATTAAAGGGGGTGTTTTATTCGGCCTGAGCAATCTCTTAAGCCCGCGACCCGGTTCTCGTGCCCACCCCCTCGCGATGGATAATTGCCGGCCCCGGGTGATTAGGTAAATTCCAGCGATCCACGCAGATTGGGACGGAAATATCCGGGGGCTTCGTACGTTTTCTCTTTATCTTACCTTGAAGAGGATCGAGATCCCGAGGTTCATGAACGGCTTCGTGAAGTCGATCACGCTCTCCCGGGCGTAATTGATGGTCATCGAGCCGACTGCCAAGTCTGCTTTCTGCGAATTGAGAGACGTATTGTTTCGATTAATCATCGGAAATGGCGACTGGAAACGTGTAGCCAGGCCACGATTTTCTTTGGCCGGGGGTCACGTGATCGCGTGTTTCGCGAGGGATTTCGCGGCCAGGTACTTGGATCTATCACGTTCGAGAACGAACAAATCGCACTCTCGACGTTGCGGTTGGAAAGGTGTATCATCGACGATGTATCGTTGGACAGGTCGAAGATCCAAGTATCTGGCCGTAATTGCAGAAGACGTGAGATATGAGAGAACTTCCTACCTGTATTCTTCGTAATGGTTCTTCGAATGTCGAGGCAATGATAGTGTATTATTGTCAGAATGATGTATTTATGTGAGTAGATCGAGTGGTGGGACAAGCAGTGCTAAGTGAACTGGGGACTCTAATACTATTCTAGGCTGTCACTACATTGGGCAAACAGGATCAACTAGTAGACTAGTAAATATTCGAAACGATTGTGATTGCTCGGTTCAAACGTTGATGGCCGTACAGTTTACCAATGGTGGAAATATGATAAATATTTCAGAGGTGCAACAATTATCGTTTTCATTTTCGAGCAAGACCATTTTCTAGGACATTCTCCAGTCTTCCAATCTATTACATCTATGCTACAGTCAGGTAGTAGATGACCTAAGGATAGCCATCTATCAACCACTGGTATCGATTAATCGCCACCAATATAGGATCGAAACCTTTATCCAAGAATTCACTTGAGCACAACCTCATTTCTGGTTCACAGAAATCCGTCCCACCCCAAAAAATGTCCTCTAACCCGCCATACAAGCTGTTTTTCTGATTCCACTGGACATTCTTTCGATGAATTAAACTCACTGGAAAAAAATCTTTCGACCCTATCCTGTCCCTCGAAAGGACCCTGACGACGTGAACGTGAAATGGTCCGAATAGCAGGAGTAGAAGAGATACTTAAAATCGACGGGGCAGAACGGAAGAAGTCTTTCAGGATTTTACATACTACAACCGTACGCAGTCCGGGTTCACGTTATCTAACTGCTTTTTCAGCGTCTGGAAAGCACTCGCTCTGCCATGGGGCATAGAGCACCGGTGTCCCACCGCAGCCTAGGCAGATTTATTTCTGGCCGCCGCTGCTTGGAAACCGTACATGTGGCCACGACCGATAAACGGGGGGGTTGAAAGTACTCGTTCACCCTTTCGGTTTCGTGACCGCCTCGTACCCTATCCCCTCCCTTACTTCTTCCGCAGACCAGCCGATAATAGGGATTTGAACACCGACTGAACAGCTATCCCATGTTTTCGATTTTGCATTCAAGATTGGAACGTCAGCCTTTTAATTCCCTCACGCGATGTGTAGATAATTATTAGGCGTAAAAATGTGTAATTCGTTGGTTTTAACTCGGATGTACTACCCTGAGAACTGTAAATTGTCAGCAAATGGAATGGGTTCATTTACCGCCTGACAAGTAGAATGTGTCATATGTGGCCAGACAAGCTGTTTTCGCGTTTTCATTCAAGAATGAGTGGAGCGTCAGCCTTTTGATTCCCTTACGCGATGTTTAGATTATTATTAGGTGTGGAAATTTGGAATTTGTCTGTTCTAAGTCAGACTTAGTACTCTGAAAATTGTAAGAGGGCAAATGGAATCAGTTATTTACTGTCTGTCAAGTAGAATAGGTCGCCCGCGGTTAGACAAGAGTAATCCAGTCATTTCGAAAGATTAAATTCTCTGCCGAATGAAAAACAAACAGTCCGTCGCGACACTGGCGTGCGTCTGCGAAAGAGTTCATGTGAAAATTGCCCCGCAGCTGTCGGGGGATTTAGTCCGACCCCTCCTGAAGAAACTTTCCCTCGATTGCCCCCGAGTCAGACGAAATGTCTCGATTCATTCGTTTCCTCCACGTTAACTCGTGAACTATGGTTTGCTGGCGGTCTGGATGCACGATGGGAGCAACGTACAAGATCTCGAGATTTACGATGATAGATAAAATGAAATGCCGTGTAAGAATTACCGAATACCTTATTATCTGAAAGCAAAAATATCATCCTACTCGTAATCGTGAGAGTTATTTGAAATTATTTAATTCCACACAGTTTGATTTAGTCGATATCAATGGACGAATTGACAATAACAACTAAATGAACAATATTAAATGTATGCATGTTCAATTTATCATTGATACCTCTAATTGAACACCTCGTGAAATCGTGTCATCAGCTCTCGCCATCAAACCTCGCCCAATAAATGCCACAACAATTCATTCGTCCATGCACAACGTCCTCGACGCGACGGGAATTCGCGCCACGGTAATTTCCCATTGATTTACAACTGTCACCTAGTCGGATACCGGCCGATAATTAAGCAGTTTGTTGCTCGGTACTTTCGCTCGACGACAGCTCGACAGCCCGGGGAGCCGCGAACAAGTTTTCGCGTGTATATGTTCGCCTGGCCAGAGCATCGCGACGCGCGTCGAGACGGCCAATTTTTTTGAAAACGGGAGGAGATGGGATTGCAAGGTCGGTGTAGCGTAAAATTGACGGATCAATTTGACGGGTCATTGATCCGGTCTGACTTTGGCATAGATAATGATTCCTTATCCTCGATGATCTAGCTCGAGTCCCGTTTTATAAATTCGCTCGAGAAATTGGAGAAACTTCGTCAGATATTGTCACATACGATATTCTCATAAATTGTGTTCGATTGACATAGAAATTTTGACCATTTCGTTCCCATTAACTACGAAATAAAATATTAGTATTATGTAGTTTTTCATATTTGTGAGTATACAAGTAGATTTTTCTAGCCTTGTGTAGATGGTATGGCACAGATTTGAATGTGCATATAAAAGTTTATCGGCAAAACAATACATTGTTTCTCCTGTTTCCTTCATTTCAAGAGGGTTTATCGATTAAAAGTGAAAAAATTGAGTTTTATTATATATAATATTATAATGGCAATTACTATACATAATTCTGATGAATCATTTACAGAATATTTAAATAATTCGGGAATGAAAGCGTTACGAAAACGGATACTTCTTACGAGGGAAAAGTTTCGAGACTTATGATACGGAGATCGATTTCATTTAATTATACACTCTCCTCCCATTTATTAAGACACAGTGAATTTTTATTACGTCCAAGAGTAAAATCCTATTATTCTTCTTTCTAAATTTTCATCGCCTCGGCTGGTATTTCGTTTTATCTGTATATATCTCGCGAGAAGGCTGTTGCGTCGTTAATCATGAAACTCACGTAAATACGCCTATCTATTTCCATTAAAGGACGAGAGAGAACGCTAAGTAGCAGAGTTATTCAGGGCAATCTCTCTTCGTTCTTTATTACGGCGAATTGCGGTGGCCGCGAGTCGGATTTTTTTTTTCCGTTCGCGGAGCATCGTGGACGCTGCGTTACGACGCGAGAAATTATTAATGATCATCTGATGAAATTAATAACGCGGTTGCGCGGCGATACAGAGCGAACACACCCGTTTTGTAACAGCTGTCGCCTGAGGTAGGGGAAAAAAGAATTCTTTATACGGATTACCACGAGGAATATCAGTTCTAATTAATCTCGGTCCATTCGAACGGTTCGGCAAAATTAACGTGGTCGCATTGATAATCACGAGAAATATTTTAATTTAGACCTTTCATGTTTTTATCTTAGATCTTGTGTGATTACTGTCGCGTTAATAGGACGAAAAACCACGATATCAAGGGTTTCACGACCACAGATTGTAGTAAATACCGCCCTCATACATAATGGACCCGGTGGAAAAGTGTACCCTCATTCGACTTTTGGCTAGGTAGAATAGTAATCTCAACTCCGACGTGCAAGATTTATGGCGAAAGTAGCTTCGAAATGAAGACATTCCCGTTTGTAGTTACGCGTGGTTGTTCCGTTACTTTCGGATGATGAGTTTCCTTGTCCGACTGAAACACAGAAGCGCAGACAAATATCGTTGTCCACCACTCTACTGGGTGCTCCTTCCTGTGTTTAATAGATGCTCTGATTTGTTCATTATATCCATCGAACACTTTTATTTATTTTATAAACCACTTCTACAGAGGCTTTTTTTAAACAGAAGACCCTTTGTGGTTTATCAACTTGCCGCTTTTTTCATATCACTTTGGTATTAGATTGAACCATTTTGTAGTTTACCTATGCAATATACTGGACTCTGCGATTGAGTTCGCGTTAATAACGTTAATTTACTAACTCCATTAGAGTATTTGATCTCTCCTCCAGCCAGAATCTGCCACGTAAGCCCGCGCTTAATCAATCGGCAGTGCGCGTATTAGCTGCAACGTGGGACGTCGTTGACAGCTAAAGCTACGGCGAAGCATTGGTGGTTTCGCACCCCCTCGGTTTGGGGGGAACACGATGCACGAATTTCCACGTGCGTTCCGCTACAACGGGCTCGTGATTTGCATTGCAAAGCTGCCTCTGGTATCCCGTCGTAACACCCGTGTCTTCGTTATCGGTGCGAGAAACTTACTCTTAGAATTCAAATCCCGAATCCGGGCTGGATACAGTACCTTCGCGCCTTTTCCACCTGTATTCGCGTTAATACTTTTGTGTTTAGCTTGATAGAGGCTCTTTGTGCACCTTTCTGGATGTGAATATATTCCATGAATATTGGGAATTCAATATTCTCAAATCTTCTGATAGACACAGAAAGTTTTCGAACAACTTCTTTCTCATTGGTATACTTGATTCACGCGCCACTAGAAACAACGATAAACCTGTCATCAAAGTTTAAACAGCCGCTGCTGGTTCACCAAGTCCCCCGAAAACACCGCGGACCGGACATTCCTAGCGCCTCCTGGACCCGGTTTATCGTCGACCCCCCAGACTCCTCGTCACTCTGTTTACTTGTTGGGGACTATTAAAGTGTTTGGAATACTTACGAAGTGTCGAAACGACCCCCCTCCCCTCTCACCTCAGTTGGACAGAAACGGGGACCACAGCGATGGTCGCCAAATTAAGACACGATTCCGCGTGTGAATGTGACCATGGTCCGCGGAACAGTGTATACTCACCTTGTCCATCAGCTGCCTGACTATTCCGTTCCATTCACCGGTCTCGTAATCGTAAACGCCGTACTTGCCGTCCGGCACGAGCTCGATCCTGTACGCGAAGCCCACCATGTGAGCTATCTCCTTGAGTAGGTCGATGCAGAAGCCCTCGTAACGTGCGTTCCCGCTGAAATTCCCTCGGCTCTTCAGCATTACGTACGGCTGCTCCTACGGGGACCATAAAAAGGAGCTACTACCGTTCGTCCTCCTACACATTCCTCTTCTTCACTCCCTTTCCTCCACTCCGACCCGTTCTACCTATCCTTTTATTTTCAGTTCAATCCGCGAAGACCCTTCTCCTCCCTAACCATCCAGTTATATATCTATTTTGCTCCCATTTTCTGCACATTTTCCTCCTATCTCTCTCTCTCTCTGTTCCTGGTTGAACGTCTTTTTTAATACTCTCTGAAATTACTTGTTTATCATGAGAATATTTATCGTGTTCTATTTATCGTGAATATTTTTAAATATTCCTCGTGTTTACTCGCGCCTTTCTGCTTTCCTTCTAGGATTACTCACTCGTCCGTTTCACGTTCACCTTTTTATTCTCATGTTTTATGCTTTTTTCCTAAGTTAACCTCGTCTCGTCTACGTCTCCTCCAAGCTTCCAAACAGATTAAATCCCCGATGGCTTTATTCCCCGGCGCTATGCACAGGATATCCCCGGGGTTACTACGCGCGCGATCATCCCCCTCCTCTACCCGCGAAATTCCAATTTCCCTCCCACACTTTTCCTTCGTTTGACAGCAAGAGCAAACCCACGGACGAATGGATGGCGTTTGTTCCCTCGTGTATCGTCCTGCGATCCCGCGCGAATCGATCCCTCTTTTCTCCAACTAACCATTGACTGATCGCGAAACGACAGAGAAACTCTCCCCTCCCCGTCTCTCTCCCTCTCTTTTTCTTTACCTGCGAAGCCAGGCGATCCCCCCGGGAGAATTCTATGCAATCTAACGCGTGGAACAATTCCCAGAAGTTTTTCTGTTAAAACCAAAATGAAAATAACTGGGGGAGAACCTACGAGATGATTAAGCGGCATCGGATTCCAGTCGCGTTTTCCGACTCGAATCGATATTCACCGCGGACTGTACGAGCCCGTGGATGAAAGGAGAGGGCGAGGGAGAGAGAGAGAGAGGTTGCAGTACTCGGCAGCGCTCGATGTTGATTAACGGCTAAATGGATTACAGCTCGATAGACTACCACCGCGAATAGTCCCACGGGATATGGCAATCGGGGGAAGGGGTTTTAGCTGTGTCTACACGGGAACAACTGCAAGAATGTTAGAAGGATGAACGGAAAGGGGACGGCTGAATTGGGACACAACATGCTCTGAGGTAATTTCGTCGATCGTACCGCTTTTTAAATTACGTTTTTTGTTAGTTCTGGATGTAATATTAATCTTGTAATTGGACCTTTAGATTGTTGCGGAAGCTGTGAATTCAGTGTTACAAAAAGAATTGTGGTTAAGTATAGATATACATATTTGAGAAAAGTTTTACTGACGTTATAGAAGAAAATTTGGCGAATGACACTTCTTCGAAACTCAGTTTTATTCATAGACAATCTTCGTTAGCAATTAATCGTTCGAGGTGGTCCACGGTATTTGTTGGCTGGCTCGATAACGAGAAAACTACTGAATTTGGAACTAGATGGTAATATGTTTCAAGTTTGATGTATGTTTGGGAACAGAAGGAAATATTATTACTAGTCTATTGGAATGGGCGACGTATATACGAACTGCCGAAAACTGAAAGGTTCGTTATAGCACACTAGACTTTTCGTAATAATTTACAACGTAAACTAACGGAATGTTGTAAAAGGCATACAAGATCTACCGCAGAAACGTGTTGAGAAATCATACGTTACTAATTTTCTCGTTAGTATTCACGCGAGAGACTCATTATACGGAACAAGAATGACATCAATGCAACTTCGTTACTTAATTGAATCTAATCACGACGTATTGAGCCGTACAGCTAAAATCTAGTCGAGAAGGCTGTAGAGGCGTTAAATCTTTCGGATGTTGGGAACTTCGAATTAATCGTCGTCGTCGACAGGTCCCGTTGAACGCTTTAAATTATGGGGGAACGATCGAGAGGCTGATGACGGAGCCAGACAGTGGAACAGAGAGGGAGAGAGAGAGAGAGAGTGAGATCGCGTCGAGCACGACGATTAATAATTCCTTCCAATGGTAAGAACGCGTCACGTGTACCAGGAAAATCGTCCATTGATTCTGTCCGGGATTAACAGAAAGTAATTAATAAAACTGGAGTCGATAATCGACGAATAACTCTTAATGTTTCGCTCGACGCACACCTACTACCTGCAGACTGATTGGTCGTAAGTATTTGCATCGATCATCCGTGAAGCCCTCTACCTAAATAGTATTTCATGACAACAACGATCACTTTTAGGACATTCTTTGTTACTGAATTTCCTACACTCAGACATTGGTCTTATAAGATTCTTATTAAATTTAATTGTATCGTTAACCCTTTCGATACTACAGAGCGACGAAAGTCGCTCACCACGAAATAACTACCCTGTACATTGAAAAGGTCTTAAACTGTTAAAATAGAATTAATATAAAATTTGATTGCGTTTAAATTTTCATTGAACGTTTGTTTTATAATGCAAAGACTATTTACAATTAAATATCTAAACATACGGAAGCATCGCCAATTTTTATATTACATGGCAGTATCGAAAGGGTTAATTATGGCAACCAATTTACTCTAACAACACCTACATTACCCCAGTAATCAGATACCAGCGAATCGATAAATTCAGTTGGTTTCAATTCGACTTTGTTGACAGAAATACACCACTGATTTATTATCGATTGCAATTTTCTAATACATAAATCTATATGAACACGTAGCAGATACGATGACATCTCTAGTTAACTAACTTTCGCTCAACACCTACCTATAGCTTCTTCTTCTCTACCTCGCTCCTTAAATATTCACAGAAATCGCAATGTTAAAGCCGATAAGATGGCGACAGGATGTGCTCTGGACATTTCACGTCGATAAGCGTCGCCACCAACCAATTAGCATCCTATAATCCTTGATTCACGGGGGTTCGTTACGCGCCTCGCACTCGCGAGCAATTAACGGCGTTCGTGATTTACCTTCCGACTTCTCTCGCGGAACGGCGCGTTTCGATGATCGATCACGAGGAATCAGAGGGGCGACAGGTACCTAGGGAGAGCAACGTGCTCTCTAGAAACGGCTACTCGGAAACGTCTACCGGAAGTGTTGGACACTTCCGGCGGATTGGCGGTTCGGACGAGAGGATATACTCGCGGAGACGCGGTCAATCTCGACGGTAACGCGGCGCTAATTGGCGGTCAGCTGCGACTGGCTGGCGACAAGGCGTGTTTAATCAGAGGTCGACTAAGATTGAGGGACGCTACTTGGCTCGGCAACACGCGTTCAGGTTGAACTCTGACCCTTAACATGACCAGAACGAGCCCACGTTGTTCTTTCGGATTTATCTAATATCTCACTCCTAGAGTCACATCTAATTCGATCGTATTCGATGTTTCTGGAACTGGATCGTCGCTCGGGGGGGGGAATAATCGTGCACAGGTGTGTTTAACCCTTTCGCTACCGGTGATGTTCCATTAGTACGACGATGCTGTACGGACCAGCGAGTCGTGAATGTGCACTTGACGGAAGGTGTATGTAACTGAATCAGCGCCGAATATGTTCTATCATATTAAGGAATTTGTAATTTTTACTTATGCAATTTATAATTTTGTGTAAGCGTGATCTGAAGATCATCGAGTCGAGAACTGTATTATGATGACAGATTGTAATTATCACATTTCTATTGAATGAAATGTGAAGCTCTTTACGATGTATTTCGAAACATAGGTATACAGGGTGAGTCAATAAGAACTACTATCTAAACTAACTCATTAGATATTGGTTGCATTAAGAAACGTTTTAATTTGATTATATTCTCTACTGCCCGAGCCACCGTGTCCATCCTCTTCGATGACAGCCACCGTGAAATTCTGTACTAATTGTAAGAGTGCATCGTGAATTGTGTTCCCAGTATATCTAGCTTACAGTGTACTACAAGGTGCATTCGTGTTTGACGATGTGTCTGAGAAACATGGAATGGTTCGCTAACGAGCAAAGTGTTATTATCGTTGAGGTGAATTGATCTATATAGAAAAAGGAGTGACTAGAAATATCAACGGATGAGGTGCGTGAAAGTGTCTTTGTAATTTACCTACGGACACCATGTATGTACGTAGAACGTGTGTGGTATATGGTTGCGAGGCTGCGGGGGTGGTGAACGATTCAGAAGAAATTAAACAAACCAAATCATACATGTCGCATGAGCTCTCTGACGATGCCGTTCCACTCCCCGGTTTCCGGGTCTTTCGCGCCGTACTTCCTGTCCGGTACCAGCTCCAACCGGTACGAGAAGCCGACCTCCCTCGCCACCGCTTCCAGCAGGTCCACGCAAAAACCGTAAAACCGCGCGTTCCCCGTGTAGTTTTTTTCGTAGTGCATCATCACGTACGGAATTTCCTGTCGGGAGGACACAGCGCAGCACGTCGTCAACAACAACACGGCGCCCATGCAAACAACGGAACACGCTGTCAGATCAGGGACGATACACGAGACTGCTGCGATTAATCGGACATCCTGTACCGCGATCGTTTGCTATCTCCTCGGAGGAGGATCACTCGATTCGGCGGCGAACGCCGGTGAAATTTCGATCCACGCGCCTCGAGTAATCGCGATCTCTAGCGGGTGGCGTATGGTCGAAGCGGAATCAACTTTGCAGGTACGATGGTCAAATTCTTTACTGTGATTCGTGTTTACTTATCCAAGCCTGAGAACTTTCTTAAAAGTTTCCAACATAGTTCCACGGTAAAGATGAGAGTAACATCGTTTCAGAAATTAACCACAGTGATAGAAGACCTTGATCGGTCAGTTAAATCGCTTTCGACCATAGCCAAAAGACAATCGTTCGACCCGGCCTGGTCACTTCGCCCGTAGCGCACGGAAGAGGCTGCGGTTCGAGGGACAAACGCCGCGGGGCGGTCGGTCATCACGACGAAACGGGGAAGTTTTATGCTGTTTTTAGCTCCTATTCCGGGCCAGGGAATTGCGCGTTTCGTATAACGTATACCGGGCATAAAGTACGAGATTCTGTAACGTTGGAAGACACAATCGCTGTTTATTACTCGCCCCCTCCCCCTCCGGCCACCGTTCAGCCCGTAAATATCTTCCTCCGATCGCGAATACCCTCGGATCTCGGGCCGAGAGGGTTGGCCACGCGTTATCGCTTTCGCCCGCCTGGGAGAAACCACCCCCGGCGTAGCTGTTCTACCAACGATTCGATACGGGCTCTCGTGTGCACACAGTCGCAGAGAAATTTTTCCGATCACCGGCCGTCGAATCGTCACTATTTCAGAGTTCGTTAAATTCTTCCCCGTCGTTGGCCTTGTGTCCTCGTGTTGCACGTGCGGTCGTTAAAGTCGACCGTGTGCCATCGATAGTTCGATCGTGACAGCACCAGCCGCCCGCGCGAGTATCGGAGAGGAAAAACGCACGGCGCACCGCTGCGTTATCCACGAATACGCTCGAACGTTGTTACGCGACGTTGGAGAGGAACGAGATCTTTTCCACGGCGTATGCTACGTGTTTTTGGTTAGGATCACATACTTGTACAGGTTGCTGATAACAATGTGGGATATTTTCTGACGGTGGACTCTACATAGATGCAAAACTATGCGAAATTGCGTTCCGGGCTTCGTTCCAGAGTTACTAATTGAATACCTGGTAGGAAAAACGTTGAATGTATGTTACAAATTTGGAATTTCACAGGTGAGTGATTTAAAGATTTTTAATAACAAAATCTGCACGGTCGGTGTTGGAATGTAACATACCACGTTTTTTCCCTCTTTTTGGAGATATTTTTCCCGCCAAGTGTTCAATTTGTTGAAAATATGGGCGAAAAACGCGCAAGTACGACTGACATAATGGGTTATTCTACTTAAGAGGAGCGTTATTCGTTTGTTTCATGAATATTTTATTTATTACTTTCATTGGATCATTAATCCAGTCTGTGTATCAGCTGGGAGTCAACAGTTTAAGCAGTATGTATAACCCATCGCACCAGGCGTACTTCACACATATTTGGCCTGTATTTTTAACAACAATTATTAACTCGAAAACGAAGTCTCGAAGACGTTGTCTTAGTTCAGTCAAAGTGTCCCACATTTTTCCTAACAGCCTGTATATGATTTTTTTCGATGGATGTTTGTGAGGGGTTTTCAAAGGACACTCACCAGGATCGTGATCACGAGCAGAGTGACGTTCGCGGTGCCCGGCTCGAAGAACGCTGCGGTGTCGGTCACGTTCACGCCGGCGCCTGGACGCCATTCACCGACCTATTCGAGCATCCATTTTAACGAACGTGTTATCGATTTACTTCCTGGTCGAACGTACCTTAACGAGCGAGTGTTGCTTCAGTTTCAACAGGTCCAGTTTGAATTGAATCCTACGGCCTTCTTTGAACTCGATCGGCCCGGATATGCCCTTCATCTCCACCTGGAACGAGACAAAGGGAGTCTTCATCGCGTATGTTAATAACTTTCTCAAACAAACACGTAAAAATCGAACGCATAGATTGCTACAAATACGCTATTCAAAAATTATAATCTTAGTGTTGCAATAAATCTTCGATGAGTGTTGGAAGGGTACTCGGCACTTACAAGGAGAGATCCCCAGGTGGGGCGCTGACTTTTTAATGAGGTTTAGCACAGTGATAGAGCATGGAATTCTGAAGGCAACGCATATGGTTATTAGTTTATGAAATATTTAATGTTCAGTGCCGAGGAGACTTCGACCACGCATTAAAGATTTACTGTACAACTAGACTTCGGATATATTTATGAATTTATAGCGTTCCCTAACTGGGACAATGCAATAAAATAAAGACTTTAACGGAGTTTAACACTATTTATAGGTTATTATTATCGTAGTAATGCTTCTATTGTAAAATATAAAATTCCATTTTAACTTTTAGATACCAGCGCTTGAAATTGTGAATTTGCATAATTTTCCGCAGTCTAGTTATAACAGTTCTTGCTATAGAAACTACCAAATCCTTCTTAAGTATTACGTTATAGGGATACGTCTTGCCTAAGTAGACGCAACAGATCGATCACCTGTGCTAGGTACAGCCGTATGATCGATAGCATTCTCGAAGGTAAAGAAGTTATAACTCGCGCTGCGAACAGATAACGCGTAAACTGCCTGAACGGTCAAGGAGTTTAGAAGATCGTGGATCTTGAAATACCGTAGATTTCCGGAGTTTCTGTGAAAAACCACCCCGAACAGTGATTCATCCGCGAGCGTATAAGCATAACAACAGGATACGCCGTCCGGGGGATCAGAGGATCTCAAAGATGCGTTAAAAATTTTCCCACTTAAAAAGTCGTTATCGCGGGTGACTCCCTTCTTCGGCTTCGGAAGTCGTTACCGGCCTCGGTTGTTGGCTTTGGTGGGCTCGGGAAGTCAGAGGCGGAAAAGTCGGGCGACGTTGATCCGCGTTCTCTGCGTTCTCGCGGAAATATTTCGAGGACGTGCCGGATGACGAAGCTCAGCTTGGACCAGAGGGGTGATGGAGGCGGAAGGGAAGGAGTGGGTGGAAGGGCGACTTCAGGGTGGGATCGTGGAACGCATAAATTTAAGAAACAAGCCGGGGAAGCTCCCGGTCGACGGAGTTTTTAATCTCTTTGGCGTTCGCCCATCCCGTTTCTTCTACCATCGAGGGCCACTGACCGGGATGCAAATGTCCAATTATGATTCAACGATCGCGAAAAGGTTTTTTTTTCAAACTCGCCCCCGTTAGGTTGGAATCGTATGTCCTTCTTTTCTTCGGCCGAGAGCGAAATTTCTAGGGAACTTGTTTCGTCTGGAATCGTCTGAAGTCGTCCTCGAATAACATGCGTACTAGAAGAGCTCCTAAACGAGACATCTTCCCACCAACGAGTCTTCTCCAATGCTTCTGTTCTCTCAGTATCAGAACCTCTGCAAATTCCAACGTCCAACCTTCACGTCGCAAAAGATACATATTCCCTCACAGATTGCCTTACACGCTCCTGCAATAATACTCCCATCCTCGCCCAATCCACCAAATAACGAGCAACACGCGCTAAAATCCTCCGTAGCGATTTCCTCGCAATTTATTCGCGTTCGTTTCATTCAGCGAGTCACAGAAGGGTAAAGGAACGAAATGGGGGGAGGGATGGGGGCGCGATGATGCACGGCTGCAATTTACCAAGTTTCGTCGGCGTACCCAGCGCAAGAATCGGCGTCATAAGCGTTAATTAAGCATTCGGAAGACAGATACTCGTCGCAGCGGTAGCAAGTCCAGCTTCAAGCAAACCCATTCGGACGTCCTGAACCGGTTCTCGACTGCCCGGGCTATAAAATCCCCATCCCGTCGAATATAGTAGGATATAACAACCGTTCTTACGAGCGTTTCGCGCAAAGGTTAGAGCCCCCGGATTACGAGGCGATGACGATCCATTTATCCCCCCGGGATTCCTCCCGCGAAACCGGCCGTCCCTTCGCGCTTGTTGCTGGCCCCCGTTTACGAGTGGGCGTAAAGTGAAATTGACTTTTTTTTTATCGACGTATATTCTCGCCCGTGAGGATATAAACGGTGCGTGTTTCGACCAGAGGGCGTAAGGGTAAAGCACTTCTTGATATTGAGAGCGGGAGACGATGCCGTTGGCGGTGAAACGGGAATAGGTGTAGTGGTAACCGATGGTCGTAATGTGGAAGCTGGATGGAGAAAGATGAAATTGATTTCGTTGAGTTAACGGCAAAGATCATAGGATGTATGGGGTGATTAAAGATAATGGCGTAATATTGAAATTATTAAGAATCCAGTGTTACCAACACAGCTTAACAGGAGCTTCGTACTATACAATGGAGACAATAGTGATCATCGATGCGTTTACTGATTACAATCGACGTTCAGTTCGCCAGCGGCGTTATTAGATTTCGATTTCCCCGTAGTATCTGCACGTCGAGGGAAGAACCGAGGGAGGAAAAGGACGAAACGAGGCAGAAACAGTTCCGCCGGTTATATTGTACACGGGGTATTTACCGGAATATCAAATATTTTTCTGCTTCATCGACGAGCAAAATAATCTCACCGGGCTATTCGATGTCCGATTTTATTGCCGGTTAGAGACGAGCGAGCGTCGTCGATTGTTCCCTTCGTTCCACTCCTTCCCCCGCCACGTTTAATACCGCACGCGGCTGGGGATAGATGGATCGTAACCGAAAGAAGAATTGCGAGAGTGCCTCGCGAGAAGAATATTATTTGTCGTGGGTTGTTCACCGCTGCACACGTCCTGAACACTGTACCCGGCGTCTTTCCAGCATGTTACAGATACGCGGAAGATTCACGGGGACGGGATGCATAAACGTCGGCCATAAAATTGCGAACGGGTTTCCGCGACGTATCGGAGCGTTCCATAAATACGAATACGATCGATTCTAGGGGGGTAGCGGGCGTGAGCCTTGGAAGATTGCGATTCGAAGGCGATCCAGAAGTTTCACGGCCTTTGCAACTGACGCTTGTTCAACGGAGATACCGGCGCGAATCTTCGTTTCAGTTGGATAGTGGAGAACCGTGACGGAACCAATGGAATCGCTGCTCAAATAATAAAAAGATGCTGAAACTTACCATTTTTATTTAAATAATTACTTTAATAATTTCAGGGATACGTTTCGTCGATGTCAGAATTACCTAACAGTGTGGTCAACGTTTTTATGAAAGTCTGAATTTTTAGGGAATTTTTTTTCTACTGTGATTGATCATTTCTTTGAGAAATCATTTTTTACGTATGGAAATTTGATATCGTTATGGTAGAAGAGATTTATACTAGAATTAATTCGAAGAGAAAATCGTGTTCCAAGTCTTTGATTTCATTCTAGTGCAGTTAAGATCAAAGATTAGAATTGACCGTCGAAGATGTACCTCGGTTCGGACACTGGTCAACAGTTTCGTGGAAGTTCGCTAATTAGTCCTGAGTAGCAAACTTCCCGAGGATTGCTGGATCGTGACCGTAATCGATAAACCCGACGCCGAAGGGACGAAGACGATCGTGAGAACTTAAATCGTTCGTCTCACCGTAGAATTTCTTGTCTCGTGGAGGGTCGAGTCGTTCATAAACTGTGTCGTCGGTGGTTCTCTTCCGGTTCCTCTTCCGCCTCGTCGCGCATATATCCTTCCCACGCGTCCAGAATATGAGAGGCTTAGAAACGGACGTTTGTTCCGCTTGGATTTCACCGGGACACTCTCTTTTGATATAGAGTGTCTTCTGTGCTCTCTTTTCTTTCGCTAGATCTCTCGTGACCGCGGACCGTAAAGAATCGCGAGGTTTTTTCCTCCCTTCCGCGACTCCTCGCCACGTGTCGTCGTTTGTTTACTTTATTTCGATCAACGACCCACGTGAACATGAGAATTTAGATACGCTTACATGGCACACTCTTTGATCTCTCATCAATCGAGACCAACCTGTATACCGAATACAAAATATACACGTGTATTCACAGGCTACACAAAAGCACACAGGTAACAGATTGTTACACGGAACATAGAGATAGCGTATAATAGGTACAAAAGATCACACAGAAAGATGCCTTTGGACTATCGCAACAAGGAAATGGGATAGATTCGAAACAGGGGGGAAACAGCTTATTCATCCAGGAATAATTCGAACGTACACCCACCAGGGGGGATGATTACATTTCCCACGAGGCAATTGATGCTCTTTGCATAGAAACGCTTGCGCAACAGCCGTTCCCGCGGTTATATTGTTTCAATTTCGGGTTACCGGAGAATTCTCCGGTGCAACATTTGCTGATGATTAATGCGCCTCGGGCACTGAACAAACACACGCGAATGGGGACAGTAACCGCTCCCACGATTATTAATTACAAACAAATATCAGAAATGCATATTTATAGCAAAGAATCGTTTTTCCGGGTCGATATTTAGCGGCGCGTTCTCTCCGGCCAAAGAATCAGCCGATTTCCCTATTTATTTATCAAATGATATCGCGAGAACCCGTGCAGCTGCTCGATGACCAACAGCCCCGATCAGAGGCCCGATAAAGTTTACAGAATTAATCGAAATCAAGCAAAATATGTAATGATACCAAACGGATTAAAGAAAATATGAAATTGCGAAAGCACTCGCGGTCGACGGACAGCGGTTGAAAATCGTGAAAACGCGCGTTTGCAGCACGTCCAAAAGCAGCTGGTTAAGAAAACATGAGCCACGTGAATTAAGGGGTCGGTTTTCTGCTCCGGGTTAAAGCGGCTGGAACTTGCGATCTCGGTTTGGCCCAGCAACCACGGATAACTTCTGGCGTTGTGGGGAACGAATGCTCGTTAAGTTCTGTCGGCATAAGCGCCGTATTAAAAGGGTAATAACTGGACCGGGTCGACTGGATTACCCGAAGTACTCTGACGTGGTCACTTAATTACTATTAGTCCCTCACCCACCCCCTTATCTTTTACCA